TGGGGTGATATAGTAGGTTGGGACTGGGTCGAAGGAGCAGAGCGCGATGGCAGCGCAGAACCACGCAGCGGCGGCAGTTCTGGGTAGCACGCCCACCCGCCGAGGACGGTCCGTGTCCATGCCCAGGCCACTCACCCGCATGCTGTGCTCAGGGTCCCGCCCAGCAGGGAGCCGAGGATGACTCCGACTCCGAAGCAGAGGCCTAGTCGGCTCAGGGCTGCAGGCCGCTCCTCTGGCGCGGACAGGTCGGTGATGACCATCTGCGCGGCTGGAGGTGGGTCCGGGGCTGAGTGGCACTGACCTCCTCAAGCACCCCTGAATCATCTGGTGTGTCCCCAGTCCCATCTCAGGCCACACCGCCACATGGCCGCCTCTCTCAAGACCTGCCCTCTCCCACCCCCACTTGCGTTTCATCCTGCCACTGCTGGGTCCACTAGACGCACCCCATTCTGACCTCCCCTAGTTCGTCCTCCTCAGGTCACCTCAGCTCGCCCTCCACCCTCAGCACTGCCCGCCTTCCTGCAGGTCGCCCTCCTGGGGCCTCCCTGGCCCTACCTACCTGGCATCGTATGCATGAGCGCTGCCGGCAGGCGCGAGGCGAAGAGCAGGAAGACGCCGGGCAGGGCCGGGCTGCAGGCGGCCGCCAGGAGCAGGAAGAGTGTGGAGGACGCCAGGAAGGACAGTGTGAATGCTGCACGCGCCCCACGCTGGTCCGCGAACCTAGGGGCCCAGGGCGTCAGGTCAGCCCCTCGCAGGCTTCGGGCGGGATCCCTCTTCTGTCCCCCACGCCCACCCTCTAGGACTGCCCACCCGGGTTGGTCAGGGAGGGTGGGATACCAAGATGGTGAAGGCCCACGTCTGGGCCTGTGTGGGCTGCTGGGAGGGCTGGCTATCCTCCAAGAGCCTCAGTTTCCTAAGGCCAGTGGAGCTGTGCAGGGGCAGGCAGGTCAGTGAGCTGGGTCTGACGCAGGGGGACATCCTGCTCCGTGTGAAAGTGCTATATGAGGGGGAATGGACCAGGGGATGCTGGTGTGTTTTACAGGACGTGCTTCCCAGGCTCGGCCTGACAATAGAGTGCTCCTTCCTCTGCAGGGCACGAACCCACCCAAAGACCCCTGCTCACTGCAGTCTCACCGAGAGTGAGGTCCCTTCTCTTCTGCCTGAATGTTACCCTAAAGCTTTGCCCCCTGCCACTGCTCTTTGCTGCTGCCCTCTGTGGGGCTTGCCAAAGGCTCTGTGGTGTCAGGTCCCAGTCCAGCATTCCCCCAGCACTGAGACCAATGGGCACCTGGGGGCCCCCACAGTCTCTGGAGCTGCCTGGGTCCCAGAAGATCCAGCCCTGGGAGTCTACAAGGGGCTGAAGCTCTTCTGTGGTTTGCCTATCTGTGAATCAGGAGCCATCCGCGTGGGGCCCAGGGTGAGGTCAGGCGACCTGGTAGGACCCGACCCATGGCCTTTGAAGGGTGGGCCTGGGTCACCATGGGATGTGCCCCCTTCCCACACACTGTACCTGCCAAACATGGGCCCACCCAGCAGCTGCAGCACCCCAAAAATCGTTTGCTGGTAGCCAAAGGCGACAGAATCCAGGCCCAGTCTTCGGGACAGGTACTGAAAGGCAGGAGGGTGCCCATGAGAAAAAGCTAGAATTCAGGGCCCAGGGCTGGGCAGGTCATGGGGGTGCATACAGGGTCTGGGTGCAGAGGGCCCTACAGGGCAGCCTGGGTGGGTGGGACTTCCCTGAGGGACTCTGGAGCACATGGTGGCCTCCAGGACTGGCAGTGCTCACTGGAGGCAGCTACTGGGCCTCTTCCCTTGTGGGGTACACCTCAAATGGGTCACAGAGAACCCTGCTCTCCACTATTCTGTCTCCATTCACACAGAAGCTTGTGAAAACTAGCTCTAACCTGGCCAGGAAGAGAGTCTCAAGGCACCCAGTGACCTCCGGGAGGGGTCAATTGTCCAGCTGAGGGTGGCTCCCAACCCTCAGCCTATGACTGGCTTCCTTATCCAAAGGGGGATCTTGCACACACATGCGCACGTGCACACACACACACACATACACACACACACACACGGGCGACCATGAGAAGGGACGCTTACAGATGGAGGCGGAGATAGGGGTTCTGTGGCAACAAGCCAAGGAATGTCTAGGTGACCAGGAATGGGAAGAGGCAAGGAAGGATCCTCCCCTATAGGTGTGGCCCTGCCCACACCTGGTCTTGGACTCCTGGCCTCCACGCTCTGAGACGGTGAACTTGCTGCTCTGGGCACCCGTTCAGGGGAGTCTGTCCGGTGGGCTCGAGACTGCAACGCTGCCGCCTTACAGCCTGCTCCTGAAGCTGTCCTGCGTGTCCCACATAGCTCCTTCCCAGTGTGGCCCAAGCCCCATTTTTTAAAAAGAGTTATTTTATCTAACTTTATTTATTATTATTTTGGAATTTGACCAGAGAGAGGGAAAGTGAGAAAGCAAGCCATCAGGTCCAGGCCCTGAACCATGGTCAACTGCATGGGAGTCCTCGCCCTCCCTTGGGAAGCCAGAGCCATGTTTGCTATGTCCTGACAATCAGCCCTCAACCTCTCAGTGAGTCCATTCCCTCCCCTCTGATGCCACTGCAGCCCTTCTCTCCCTCCAAACCCCTGACTCCTCCCCGGCCCTCCCTGCCCCTGCTGCTATGAGGATGCTGAGACTCCCACACCCACACCTGTCCACCTGTGCACCTGCCCCTACCAACCCGGGCCACCCCCCCCATACACCACATCCAGCCTCTTGCCTCCCCAAGGACAGGACTCCAAAGCTTCTTCTCTAGACCTCTGCTCTCCCACTACCCTCAAAGCTTTGTTGCATTTGCAGAGAACTCCTCTGAAAGCTGTCTGCCCTGATTCCACCTCCCCTGCTCTCTCTCAAGCCACCCGAAGCAGATGCTGTGCCTCCCTCATCCCCAAGCCATGGCTGACCTCCAAGCTGCTACCTGTCAGGCCCGTCGGCTCCAGTGCCCCTCTCGCCCAGTGCACCTCCCACTGGACAGCGACAGCTGAGTGGCACCTGCCTCAGTGGCTCCCTCCCTCCTCTGTGACCCTAATCCTCCCCTGCTCTGGGCTGTCCTGGGTCTCCTGCCCCTTTTCTTTCTTTCTTTCTTTTTTTGCTATAGGGCGTGTGTGCTCGCCAGACAGACAGAGAGAGACAGAGAGACAGAAAGCGAGAAATCACCCCCCAGGGGGGATGGTCACACCCCAATCCCTTCTCCTCCATTCTCCTCTTGGGATCTTGGGCATGCATGCACATGCGCCTGGTGTGAGTTTAAGTCGCCGGGTCTGGGACTTGAACTGCGGTCGACTACGTGGGAGTCCAGCGACATAGCCACTATGTTAACTGCTGGTCCCTCCTGCCCCTTTTCATCTGGCTCTGCTGGAGTGTCCTGTTCACTCTGACCTTCACACCTGCTTCACTCCAGGGAAGCCCATCCTGATGGCCAGCCCCATAGGGTAGAGTCCCAGAATGAAGTGGCCCCAGGACCTCTGTCCTAGACTGCTGTGTATCTGACTCCCCTTGGGTCCACACTTGAGCTCTAGCATCATCTCAGACTCAACCTGTGTAGAACTGGGCTCCTGTTCCCCACCAAACCCTGGCGCCTCTGCCAACTGCCTCTTCTCCATCGCAACCCCGCCATCCTGTGGAGGGCTCAGGCATCCCATCCACCAGCAGCCCACCAGGGGCCCAGCCACTTCTCCACAGCCACCGCTATCCTGGAATGCCCTGAGCATCTGGTGGATGCTCTCTGGCCTCAGCTCCTCCCCTCCACTCACTCCTCTCAAGCTGAACTGATCTTGAGACTTCCCCAGGGCCTTTGCACTGGCGCTGTCACTCCCGTCGCCTGCAAGCCTCTGCTCCAGTGTCACCTTCTCTGTGAGGTCCTCCTGACCCTAAACGTGCCAGGCGTCCTGAGGCACTAGCTCCCTCGCTGTCACCACGTTGCTTTTCCCACTACGCAGTCTAACTACATGTATTGTTAATGGTTGTCACCGCCTGCACCTGTGCACAGTCGCCCGCCAGCCCCGAGGGAGTAGTCTGCTTTGTCTCTTCTGAGCACTGCGTTTTCCAAGCTCTGAGAACGGAGTCAGCTCATAGGTGCTCAACACAGATTTCCTGGACCAATCAACGCCCTTCCCCACGGGATCTGATGGCAAGACGCTTCTCCACGCTTGCTCTGGGCCCGGCTGTTCTAGGTTTTAACTCTGACTCATTCGTCTCCACTCCAGCCCCGTGAGGGAGGGACCAGTGGTACCCATGTGATGATGATAAAACCAAAGCGCCTGCCCAGGCTTCCGAACTGCTAAGGAGACCAAGGCTTGAACTCGGGCCATTTGGTGGGAGTGAGCTGGCCTTGGGAGGCATGGTGTGGTGGAGTGCTTGGGCTCTATATGTGGCTGGGAGTCTGGATGATGACAAGACCAATGCCACTCCCACTCAGATCCCAGGCCCAGGCTGTGAGGGCCAAGAGGAGGAGGGCCAGTGTCAGTGCTGGGCTTCCCCGGGAGCAAGTGCATGGGAGGTCCCCGGTAGGCTGGACTGCCCCTGGGCTTCCTGCTGCAGTGTGACTGTTCCTAGCAGTCTCTGAGGCTGACTTCCGGGGGGAATGGGTATGAGGAACTGGCCTCAGTTACGGCTCCCTTGGGCCCTAGTTCTGCTTGGCCTGGCCTGGTGACCACGTCAGGGGCCAGGTCCTTGCTCTGAGGGTCTCTGGCACTACCGTGGCCCTCCAAGCTTAGCATGGAGCCAATGCCAGCTGACCATCTCAGTGAGCTTGTTCCCGAGAATCTCGAAGGAAACTTTAAAAAGTGGCCAGTGGCTAATGCCAGGGCACCACCCAGACCAGGCAGAAAAGAATCTCCAGGGGCTCTGAGTTCTTCCAACTCCTCTGGGTGCTGCTGTCCCAGGAGGTAGGACCCTGTGGGCCAGCTCCAGAGAAGTTTGTTGAATGAATAAACCCGAGTAAAAGGGGGAAATGAATGGATGTGGTGGGCCCTGGCCAGTCAGTGACAGCAGAACCTTCACTATGAGTCAGGCTGAGTTCAGAAAAGTCAGACCAGGTCCCTGGCCTGCACTCTGGCAGGGAGAGGGCAGTTGGTGGCATGCACACGGAACGGGGATGCTGGGTGTGGGCAGGCCGGATCAGCAGGATGCAGGGAAGGGACACTAAGGTGCCAGGCAGGTGTAGGAAAGCCCTCTCCAAGCAGGGACCTGTAGAGGCCCAGTGCTGCCAGGACACACGCGGAGCAGGCGTTGGGGCAGGGATCCATAGGGCAAAGGCCTGCAGGAGGGAAGTGAGAGGAGCAGGGTGAGCACAGCTGTGTGGGGGATGCCCAGGCTGCGTGGCTGTGTGGGTGGCTCCCGATGGCTTCTCCCAGGGCTGGCAGCGTGGTCAGAGCTCAGGATATGCTGATGGCGGGGGTGGAAGGGAAGGGGTGAAGAGGCACAGTACCTGGGTCTCTTAACTCATTCAGCTCAAGTGTGGCATGGGGCCTCCAGTGGGAGGGGCCTTGGCAGCTTCAAGCCCCACCCTGCTCCCTGCCACAGCCGGGGAAGGCAGGAGGGACCCCTGGGGCAGGGTGCTACTCACTGGCATGATGGAGAACTGCATGAAGACACAGGTGAGCTCCAGGGTGGCCAGCACGTAGGTAAGCAGGATGACCCAGGGCCGACCCACCCTGCCGGGGTCCTGGCCCCTGGGAGCGCCCACTCCCTGCATTCTGGGCATGCTCTGCAGGGAGACTCGGGAGGATCTCAGCAGGCGCTGGTGCAGTCCCGGAGCGGACAGAGGGCAAAAGTCCTGTTGATCTGGGCGCAGGTGCTGAGTCACTGACTGGAGGCGGCGGCACGCGCCTGGCCTCTCCTGGAGGAGCTGGCCTGTGGGAGAGGACAGTGCTCAGGACCCTGGCCAGGCTCTCTTGTCACCTCAACCTTGCAGAGCGTGTCGGGTGGCCCCCGCCTCCACATCTGGCACACAGCGTCCATGGGAGAGAGGCAGAGACACTCCCCTCCCTGCTGTAGCGTGGCAGGCTGTGTTCCAGTTGCCTTACAGAGGAAGGCACCAGGCCTCCTCCTCCACTCCCTTTTAAAAAAAATTTACTATGGGGTGTTTGCACTTGCCGGAGAGAGACGGGTCCAGGACGGGAGCCATGCTGTTTATTGTGTGTGATCCGGCTGCCTTAACCCCATGCCACTGGCTGGGGCACCCCCTTTTTGAGG